TGTAACTCATTATCATTATTCATCTCTGGGTATTCTTTCATTTATTTATAGTCTACATTCATTAATTTTTCTTAGGATGCCATCTTATAGCTTATTCTCACATATTTTATTATTATAATTAATTAATTATTTATTTATATTCCTCCTCACTTTCTCTCTTTATATTAATAATTTTTTTTATTATTATTCTTTCTCACCTCATCCTCCCACAATATTATTTTTTTAGTTCTTGCAACTTCATTGATCATTATCTATCTTATATTGTTTCAATTCTCTCTCTCTTCATTTATCTTCATTTCCTGTTTTGGGAATACCTTGTGATCTTGTTGCTTGACTCACTTCCTGGATTTAATTTGTTTATTGATGTCAATGGATTTGAATATCCCTTGTACTCACTTAATAAATTTTTTTTTGCTTTTCAAAACAAAAAAAATCAAGATATAAAAAGCACACCATTTTAGATACATACATATATTTTTTTAATTACTTATCTATTGTTGCTCTACCTCTTATTATTTTTCTTTTGACACTTTCTCTTAACTTACTCTCTCATATTTTTTCACTATATTTATCACTCTAAACTATATCCATCTTAACTCTTTCATTTAAAATTAATAATTTATTTGTTATTATTCTTTCTTTTTACCCTCCATTCTCTATTATTTTTTTTTAGTCACCCTTTGTATCCTCATCTACCTACCGTTATATATTTTTTTACACGGTTTTCATTTTATATCTATCATTTGATATTTTTATCAATCAAGAAAATGAACTTTTTGTGAACGAAAGTAATGACTGAATTTCTACACCAAATTATGTTATCAAAACTTTTCTATAAATTTAAGATTTCCTCCCGATATTAGAAATTACACAACGTTAAATTATTCTCAAGGAAATGATGACTCAACATATGCCTTTAAAATAATCAAATAGCATGCCAAATAATTTTTCAAATAATTTATTTTGCATTCGTAACCATTGACAATTAGTAGATAGGGTGACAAATAATTCATCAAACAGTATGTTTCTGCGTACGTACTATTGATTATTAATTAGTGCGATTCAGTTATTAGTAGTTCCACTAATAATGGATGATAAAACTAGATTGTATACAACAAAATGGAGGAGGCTACTTTCTACAAAGTCACTTAACTAACTTACAGAATAATTGTATGAATTAATCTTGCAAAGGACAATTCAAATGCACGAATCAAAATAGTAGTGTTTTAATATATATAATTATTAATTTGAACATAAACTATTGCAAATTTGTTTAATTAAATCCACAACATTTTCATTTATTACTAATTAGACAAACTTGATTGTCAACTTTTGCCAATTAAAATCTTTAAAATTCAATCCTTAGAAAGAATAGAAGTTCAGTTTATATTAATGTACATTTTGGTTAGCTAACTAGATTTGTCATAGTTGATTAGTTAGCTTCTTATTAAATTAGTTAAGTCTTTTTTAGTTTTCCATGCTTTATTTAATTTCTTAAGATTGTTGTCTTTCTTTATTACATGTATAAACCATTTCCTAAGGGCATAACTTTTTAAAGCGTAGTTCGATATCTATACATATAAACAAACATTTTCTTGCCTTGTAAATAATACCTTATAGTATATTTATGTAGGAGCTACGTTATGGAAACTACAAAGCCAATCTATGATATTGTGAAGGATGTTGTCCCTACAGTTTGGGCTTGTGTAAAGTACCAATTATGCTTGGGTGATTATGTTAGTAAATTCAATGAAAAGAAAGCAAGCTTGCTGGCAAGACAAGAAGTCATCAAATCAAGAATACAGACAGAGGCACAAAATTACCCTGGAAAGATTGAAAGCATGGAAGTTAAAGATTGGCTGGACAGAGGAGATAAAATAATTCAAGGTGTTGAAGATAAAGTCAAAAGGGTGGGATGTTTCTCTCACATTTGTGTAGCAAAGTATCTGGATGAAAAAACTAGAGAAGTGAAGGAAATATTTGATGAAGGGGAAAAATACACTAAGGTAGATGCGATTTTGGTGGTTGATGATCACTCAAGAAAGGGGGTTGCAATCCCAATCCCAGAACTAAAAGGCAGGGATGCTACTAAAACAAAAATCTTGGAATATTTGGTGGAAGACAAGATTACAAGGATTGGAGTTTGTGGACTTGGTGGTATTGGTAAAACAGCCATCATTAAGCATGTGCACAATGAACTATTGAATAGAGAAACCAAATTTAAGAAAGTTGTTTTGGTGACAGTAACAAAGCAGTTTGATATTATCAAGTTACAAAAAGACATTGCAAGCCAATTGAAAGTTTCTCTTCCAGATGGGAATGCAACCATGCGTGCAGCAGTGTTGTCAGAAATTTTAGAAAAAAACTGTTGCTTGTTAATTTTAGATGATGTGTGGGAGTACATTTCTCTTGAAGATGTTGGAATTCCAGATTTGGTTGGAAGCAACAATTGCAAGTTGGTGTTGACAACGCGTTTTCAAGATGTTGCTCGGCACATGAATTGCGAGATAGTCAATTTGGAACCTCTTCCGAAGAAAGAAGCATTACAACTATTCTTGAATAAAGTTGGAAGTGCAGTTTTAACTGCTAGTGGAGGCATTATAAATACACTAGAACCAACTTTGAGACAAGTTGTGGAGGAATGTGGAGGTTTGCCTCTTGCTATTGTTACAGTTGCAAGTTCTATGAAAAAGGAATCTAGCCCTCAGTTGTGGCAGAATGCACTAGATGAGTTAAGAAATCGTAGAAGAGTTGTGGCTGGTACAATAATTGTGGAAGGTGCAATGAATGATGCATTTGAGATATTGAAATTCAGCTTTGATCATTTAAATGATGAAAAAATCCAATATTGCTTCTTATATTGTGCACTATATCCTGAAGACTTTGCAATTCGAAAAAGGAAGCTAATTGAGTGTTGGATTGAAGAAGGATTTATTGCTCCAATGGAAACTAGACATAAGATGAATTGTCAGGGCCATGCTATCCTAAGGAAGTTGGAAGATAACTGCTTGTTAGAAACAGTTCACACTTTTAAAAGAACACTAAGTGGTGATGAAGATGAAAATGCTGTGAAGGTGCATGATCTTTTGAGAACCATGGCTTTGGATATCACAAGCAAGAGTCCTCGGTTCTTGGTAAAATCTGGCATGAACATCAGAGAGCTACCAAACAAGGAGCAATGGACAGAGGATTTGAAGAGGGTTTCCTTGATGAGGAATTCAATGAAAGAGATTTCAAGAGATTTGTCTTCTCCAGAATGCCGAATGCTTACAACCTTGTTGTTGTCCCATAACAGCTTATCAAACCTTCCAGATTCCTTTTTTGAGCAGATGAATGAACTCAAGATTCTTGATCTCTCCAAAAATTATGAATTGAAGAGTCTGCCAAATTCCATCTCCAAATTGAAAAACCTCACCACATTGCTATTAATTGGTTGTAGGCAGCTAAGAAAGGTGCCAACTTTATCTAATTGTCAAGCCATAACAAAGTTGGACTTTAACAGGTCTGGAATTGAAGAAATCCCAGAAGGTATGGAAATGTTGGTAAATCTCAAATATCTTAATCTTAATCATACAAAAATAAGAAGACTGCCTGAAGGAATATTACAAGGACTATCATGTCTTCAGATCCTAGCATTAAGAATAGCAGGGATACAAGTAAAAGGGGAAGACTTATGGCCACTAGAGAAATTAGAATACTTTGGTGGGTTGCTAAACGATTGGAATGAGTTGAGCATTTTCTGCAAAATGATGCAAAGCAGAAGGGAACGAATCAGAGATTATTTACTCGATATTGGATCCGGAGAAGAAGAGATTGTCAAAGCAACAACAGTCATCCGGAGACGGGTTAAAATATCATGTCTACCAATTGCTTTTGAAAAGCATGTTCCTCTACCCCACAATGTTGAGTCAATTGAATTCAGAAGATGTCATGACTTCAAATGCGTAGACCAACTTTCTTTCTTGAAAGATACAGTCAACTTGACAGCATACCTGCTTGTTGAGTGTCAAAGCATAGAGTTTGCTTTCTCCTCATTGTTCAACTTCAACCGGCTTCAATCCCTTCAGTTTCTGGTGCTTGAGCAATTAGAAAACCTAAAATCCCTTTTTGAAGAAGAAGCTCTTGCTCCATCAGCACTTTCTTTCCCTCTGAAAGCTATCTTTATCAGGGATTGTCCTAAAATAAAAAAGTTGTTCTCGCCTAGGTTGCTAGTTAGGCACCTTCAGAATCTAGAATGTCTTGCAGTGTGGAATTGTGAAGAATTGGAGGAAATAATAGCATCCAAGGGATACGAAGAAGAAGACGGTGAACTCCCTCTCCCCAAACTGAAAAAACTCCATCTGCATGACATGCCCAAATTGAAAAGCATCTGTGGCAGAACCAGAGTGTTGGTGTGCGATTCTCTTGAGAGTTTGGGATTTCATGATTGTCCAACGTTGAAAAGAGTTCCTATTTCACCTCCTCCTTCTCTAGAAGAAATCAGAGTATCTTCAAGAGTGGCATGGGAATCATTGGAGTGGGAGCATCCCAATACAAAGGATATCCTATTACCCTTCGTTGAATTTTTTGAGAATTGAAGAACTGTAAGCTGCTTGATGATTCATCACAAACAAAGGTAAGCCTTTTATCTTCAAGTTTCCATTCAGGATTCAGTACCAAACATTTTTATATTTACGCTTCCATAGTTTTTGTTTCTTTCTTAATAAATATCTTTGATTGAAAATGATTCCTATTTCTTTCTTCCTTTCCAGATACCTTACTACATGTTGGCCAAATTAATGAAATGAAGCAGGATGAATAAATTGCACCATTTTTTTCTTGATTTGGGACTTCGTTCGTTTTTTCCTTTGTTGTGATTTCAAATGTCAAACTCTAAATGCAATGTTTCCTATGTGTGGCTTGCATTTCATTCTGTGTGAATTATGTGGTAAAAATCGTTATATTTCTTTGTGTGTAATTTTATAGTTATGCTTGTTACAAATTTTATATTTTTTTATTGAATGTACCGGAGTATTTGTTTGTTTCCTTTTCTATAATAATGGGAATTTGTTCTTAAATTTCATTTTCTTCTTTTCTACCTTGCCAAATCCTTTTCTTCTTCTTTTATGCCCTATTAGTCTCATATCACCTTGGGGGTTCTTGATATATACCTGAAAAGATTAATTAATTTTGTGCTATTTTTTGCCAAAATTGTATAGCATAGTCTTTTTTCTTTTAATTCTACTTTCCCTCTTGCATATGATCAATGCCATTGTGTTTTAACCTTTTTTGAGAATGGTGGAAATCATTCACTAAAGGGCCGTTCAAACAAATATGATGTCCCTTACCATTTCTTGATTCAGGGCATATTTGGTGAAACTTTTAAGAGCTTCAGTTTTTTGACACTATTTATACTTCATAAGTTAAAATTTTTCTTTTAAAAACTTATATTTTTAACTTTTTTTTAATCTTAAAAAAATCTTAAACAGTAAATTTTGAAAAGTTTCAAATTTCTTGTTTTTTATAAACTTTCTTTTTACTCACTTCTTACTCACTTCTTACTCACTTCTTACTCATTTTTTCCCATTTTTAAAAGCAACTTTAAATTTTCCCTCCAATAAAAATTTAAACTTATCACTCACAAACAGTATTAAAAAAGTAAAAGCTCCAAGAAGCTCTACTAAAAAAGTAAAAGCTCCAAGAAGCTCCACCAACCAGACCCTCAATAAAGATTGAACAACTACAAGCTGCTTGATGATTTGCCACAAACAACAATAAGCCTTTTACCTTAAGGTTTCTACTCAGGATTGAGTTTGATACTTCTTTATTTCAATGCTTTCCTTTTTGTTTCTTTTTATATAACATCCTTGCAAATGTTTCCTCTTTCTTTCTTCCTTTTCAGATACATCGTAGTAAGTCAAGACATGTTTCCACAGCAAGGAAACTAGCAGGATGAAATCACACCTTTTCTCTGAAGTTATTCCTTATCTTTTCAGAAAATTTACTTTGTGTTTGGACTTTGAGCCTTTATTCTTCTTAGAATTGTTGAAGACAGACTGGTGTTAGAAATATGAATGAACTTTAATAAAACTGTATTTTTTTTTTCGAATAGCAAAGCATTTTATTTCATGGTGTAAGGGTACTCAATCCATAAACAACATAACAGATACATAGTATGTTATACCCCTCAAGATATAACATTATAGTTCAAGCACATTACATAGTATATTGTGTCTGCACTTTGATAAATACCGTATTTGATGCTTTTCAGTACTGTGGTCTGGGTGATCTAGCTAGAAACCATGTCAAATACACGTACAGTTGGGGTCAGCTTATTTGATTTTCAAAGGTACCTTGTTACTAAGAATGAGAATGATCTTAAATTCATTATGGGATTGTTAAAATTGGTGTTCTGCTTCTAGAGAATCTTGGAAATATCCTTTTCTCTCTGAGTACACACAATTTGTAGAGTAATTCCTTGGTTAGAATAGTAGATAAACCCTAGCACAAATTGACTAGAAACTGGTTTTCTGATCTTTCTGCTACTATAAATGATCAGCTTAATTTCACATAGGTTGGGAATTTTTTTTTAGATTTCTTTGAGAAATATTCAGATTTCTATACTCCCATTACTTTTCTTGGTTTGGCTTGAAATTTTATTTCAGATAGAAGTTGTGGATAGCAATGAGCATGGAAACAAGAGACAATGTCTATTAATGGGATTGGTATCCACTGCTGAGGTCCTGCTCATGGACTAGGAGGAACTATGAAAGCATTGACGAGGTGGATGTCAAGGGTACCCTTGGATACATGGAGAGCATCTGTAATTGACTTGCTGTTCTAATCTATTAATTTGTGGTTGTTTGGAATCTCTGCAATTGAAATTCTAAGAGGAACTGGGTTATTCTGTATCTTAATTCCCCTACTTAACAATGGCCAACCATACCATCTCCTCTTCCTTTTCTCAGTGATTTCGAGGTGTCTCCTAAAGAATGGTGGAAATTGTTGGAGTGGGATTAACCCAATGCAAAGGGTTTCCTTTTACCCTTTTGTACTAAATATTTTGACACAACTAGCCACAAATAGTGTCAGACATCATCTCCAATTTTCCACTTAGAATTTGATTGAACAAGCTTTTTCTTTTTTCTCGCTTTTCCTGTCTTTTCTCATTTTCTTCCTTGTTTGATAATAAACTAGGGCAGTAACAGCCATATATGAATCTGAAATCAATATTTCATTATAAGCAGCATTACACCTATATACAACTGGGGTCTGCTACCAGAAAAGGAAATAAAAGGAAATATAGAAACTGTACAATGCCAATCAATGCTAATCAATCCAAAATATTCTTTTGACCATTCCATCCATAATCACCGCCTTATACTCCCCCTCAAGTTGGAGCATGAACATCTCGAATGCCCAACTTGGATAGTAATGAGGCAAAGTGTTCACGACCCAAGGCTTTGGTAAATATATCTGCGGGTTGCTGTTTGGACATTACATGTCTGGTAACAAGCTCCCTTGCTTGAAGTCTTTCTCGAATGAAGTGGCAATCTATTTCAATATGCTTTGTCCTTTCGTGAAACACCGGATTATTAGCTATGTGGATGGCAGCTTGGTTATCACAATAAAGAGTCATCGGTTGTTCATGTGGAATACACAGATTAGAGAGCAATGACTTTAGCCAAATCAACTCACTAAGTGTCATTGCCATTGCCCTGTATTCAGCTTCGGCAGAGGACCTGGAGACTATTGCTTGCTTCTTTGATTTCCATGAAATAGGAGAGTTGCCCAAAGAAATAAAGTACCCTGTTGTAGACCGCCGAGTGATCGGACATCCTGCCCAATCCGCATCACAATAAGCTGTGAGAGTTAACGGACCTGCTGAAGGTAGCAAAATTCCTTGTCCCGGTGAACCTTTAATGTAGCGCAGCCTGGTGAACCTGTAATGTCGCGCAGCACTCTCATAGCAACTTCGTGGTGCTCTTGTCGCGGGTTTTGCATAAACTGTGTGAGCAATCCAACCGAGTAACATATATCTGGTCTGGTGATTGTCAAGTAGAGTAGTCGCCCAATTAACCTCTTATACTGGGCTGGATCCGTGTGAAGCGGTCCAGTGGCAGAGGACAAGTGATGATTTTGCTCCATTGGAGAGTGGCTTGGGCGAGCTCCAATAACACCAGTTTCATGAAGAATGTCGAGAGCATATTTACGCTGGCTTAGTACAATTCCCTCTCTTGTACGAATCACCTCAATTCCAAGAAAATATTTGAGAGGTCCAAGGTCCTTAATTGAAAACCTTGTGTGCAGATATTGTTTCAAGGCCTGAATTCTTGCAGTATCGTTCCCTGTAATGATAATGTCATCAACATATATTAAAACAGCAACAAAACTCTGACCTTTGCTTGAGGTAAACAATGAATAGTCAGCTCGAGATTGCACAAAGCCAGCAGCCTTAAGGGACTGTGTGAACTTCTCAAACCAATTCCGAGAGGCTTGTTTAAGGCCATATAAGGACTTCCTTAGTTGACAAACCACACTGCCATCCTTACAGGTAAATCCTTGGGGAATCTTCATATAAACTTCCTCATGTAAGTCACCTTGTAAAAAGGCATTATTCACATCCAATTGATGGAGTTCCCAATGCTTAATAGCTGTTATTGCAAGGAGGAGCCTTATAGTGACCAGTTTTGCAACTGGAGCATAAGTCTCATGATAATCAAGACCCTCTACTTGGGTAAATCCCTTAGCCACCAGTCTTGCCTTATACCGCTCCACTGTCCCATCTGGCTTGTATTTAATTTTGTAGACCCACTTAGAGTCGATGACCTTCTTCCCTGCAGGCAATTGCTCAAGAGTCCAAGTTCCATTCTGCTCAAGGGCAGTAATTTCTTTCCTCATTGCTTCTCTCCACTTCTCATTCTTAATGGCCTGGTAAAATGACTTAGGCTCATCTACAGAAGTGATGGCCGCAAGATAGGTTGAGTGTTTACGAGAGAATGAATCATAAGATAAATGGTTTGAAAGAGGGTAGAGAATACCTGAGTTAGCTGAGTGAAATGGGATCTGTTGAGAGTCGATAGATGGC